CTCGCACCGGAGGCTCCGAACCGCCGCCGGTCCCGGTGGATCCGCTCGCACCGGAGGCTCCTCGCCGTTCCCACGGGATCCGCTCCTCCCGAGGGCTCCGCTCCCGCTCCCCGCCATGAGCTCCGCGTCCTGCCCCTCCCGGGAGCCCCCCCGGTACCTCAGGTGAGCGCGGGGGTCCCCCCGAGGGGTCCCCCGGAGGAACCCCCCCGGCAGAACCGGCGGTTCCGGGCGGTGCCGCTCAGCCGGGGCTGCCCCGGGACCGGCCCCGTTCCCCGGTTCCGGGACCCGCGCGGGTGGATCGGGACCTCGGGTCGGTGCCGGGAGCCCCGGGCAGGGTCTCGGTCCCCACGGGGGTCCCCCGGGACCGGGGGGGGGCGGAACCCGCGGAGCCGCCGTTGCCGGAGCAACCCCGGAGCTCCCGTGGCGGGAGAGGAGCGGGGACAGCGAGACCGGGGATGGGACACCGGGGACATCGGGGACAGGGAGAGGACATCGGGGACATCGGGGACAGGGAAGAGACACCGGGGACGGGGAGAGGACACCGGGGACAGGGAGAGGACACCGGGGACGGGGAGAGGACACCGGGGACAGGGAGAGGACACCGGGGACGCGCTGCGGTGCCGGGGTGGGAGCGGCGGAACGGGAACGGGGAATGGAACCGAGATCCTGGGCTGGGATGCGGAGAGGGGACACGGAGCCGGGATAAAATATCGGGATGCGGGGCTGGGATGAAGAACCGGGATACAGGACCGGGATACAGGACCGGGATACAGAACCGGGATACAGGACCGGGATACAGAACCGGGATACAGAACCGGGATACAGAACCGGGATACAGGACCGCGATGCGTTCCGGGGGTGGGCCCGCAGCTCCCGGGGAGCCCCGGCCGTGTCCCCTCCCCCAGCCCGCGCGGCCGGGCCGGGAGCGATCACCGGGAATGTTCTCCGGGAACCGGGAATTGCGGCAGGAGCGATTGTGGCTCCTGTGGGGCGAGGGACGGCCCAGCCGGGCCCGGCCGGTCCCGCTCGCCACGGGAGCGGCTCCGGGCACCGCTCGCTCCCTTCCCGGCCCCTTCTCCACCCGGTTTTGTCCCCGGGACCCCCCCACGGGGGGTGGGACAGGGCTGGGACTCACTAGAGGGCACCAAAGGATTGGGGACGGATCCATGGGATCCATGGGATGGGATGGGATGGGATCCATGGGATCCATGGGATGGGATCCATGGGATGGGACTGATGGGATCCATGGGATGGGATCCATGGGATGGGATCTATGGGATTGATGGGATCCATGGGATGGGATCCATGGCATGGGATCCATGGGATCCAAGGGATGAGGTTCTCCTGGCAGGTTTATCAGGACAGCCGAGGGATGGGATGTGGGAATGCGGGATCCAGGAGCTCGCAGGGGGCCTGCTGGAATGACCAAGGGGTTTTTGGGCTCTGCCAGGTCCGTGGGGATGGGGTGGGACCCCCGGGACCCCAGCCCGGGCCCCCTCAGCTCCCCCGGGTCCCCGAGCGGGGCTGGTTCTGAGCGGGGCGCGGTTACCCCCAAACCGGGGCCCCCAAACTCCGCTCGGTACCGCCGGGATCCCGGCCCGGCCAGGTTCGGTTTCCATCCCGGTGGTACCAGTGGGGTTCGGATCCCCCCGCTCGGTTCCCCGGTACCGCCGGGATCCCGGCCCGGCCAGGTTCGGGTTCCCCCCCTCGGGCGGGCGCTGGAGGCGGCCCAGTCGGTTCCGCCCGCGCAGGCGAAGCCAAGAGATGGGAGCAATTACTGCAATTATCGCAATTATCGCAATTATCGCAATTATCGCCGAGCTGGGCGCTGCCGGCTCCGGGCCCGCGGAACAAGCGCGGCTTTGTTGGACTTGATGGAACCGGGAACCGGAACCGCCGCAAACGGCACCGAGAGTCGGGACAGGGGACAGGGGACAGGGACAGGGACAGGGACAGGGGACAGGGACAGGGACAGGGGACAGGGACAGGAGACACGGGACAGGGGACAGGGGACACGGGACATGGGACACGGGACAGGGGACAGGGACAGGGGACAGTGGACACGGGACATGGGACACGGGACAGGGGACAGGGACAGGGACAGGGGACACGGGACCCTCCGGGAGACATCAACCGTGTGACATCATCTGTGTGACATCATCCATGTGACGTCATCCGTGTGACATCATCAGTGTGATATCCGTGTGCCACCTGTGTGTGACATCCCTGTGACATCCCTGTGACATCCGTGCCACATCCGTGCCACCCGTGTCAGTCCCCGAGCCCCCGGTGTCCCCAGATCGCGTCCCGGGGGTCCCGGGGGTCCCGAGTCCCCTCGGGTTGGGGACAGCTGTGTCACCGCTGAGCGGGGCTGTCCCCAAGGCAGCGGGGCGGAGGCCGAGGCCGTGGAGCAGGAGCTGCTCGAGGATTATCGCTTCGGGCGGCAGCAGCTGATCGAGATCTGGGGACACGCCTGTGCCGTGGCTGTCACCAAGGTGAGCCTGGGGACACCCGGGGGCCTGGGGACAGGGCTGGGGACACCCCAGAGGGGCTGGGGACAGAGCTGGGGACACCCAGGGGGGCTGGGGACAGGGCTGGGGACACCCAGAGGGGTTGGGGTCCCCATGGGGAGGGGACGCTCAGCCCTTCCCGGGGGTCGGGGCAGTGGCGGGTCCCCAGAGCGTGTCCCCAAGTGTCCCCAAGTGTCTCCAGGTGTCCCCAGAGGGTGTCCCCAGGTGTCCCGGCGATGTCGCTGCCGCGGGGATCGCCCGGTGCTCGTGCGGGATGGGAGGAGGAGGAGGAGGAGGAGGAGGAGGAGGATCAAGGGCAGCTTTGTGCGCTGGAGCTCGGCTCAGCTTTTCCATCGGCCGTTCCCTGCTCCCGGGGCTGCCCGAGGAACAGAAATGTTTTGGTGTTGGAGCTGTCGCAGCGTCCCTGACCCCACCTGGGGCTCGGCATCCTCCTCTTCCTCAGGGACACCCCAGCTCGGGGTGTCCTCGAGGTGTCCCCGAGGTGTCCCCGAGGTGTCCCCGAGGTGTCCCCGCTTCCAGGGGGTGCTGCCGGCGTGGCCAGCACTGGGCCAGGGCCAGGGCCGGGCTACCGGGGCCGTGTCCCGGAGCCAGGATCCGTGAGCAGGAAAAAATCCGTCAGTGGATAAACAGAGCCTCCCTCCCTCCCTCCCTCCCTCCCACACCGCGACATCCCCATGGCCCCCTGTCCCCAGGTGTGACAGTGCCACCCCAGTGTGACAATGCCACCCCAGTGTGACAATGCCACCCCAGGTGTGACAGTGCCACCCCAGGTGTGACAATGCCACCCCAGTGTGACAGTGCCACCCCAGTGTGACAGTGCCACCCCAGGTGTGACAGTGCCACCCCAGGTGTGAGTGTGCCACCCCTGCTGTGTCCCCAGGGTGACAGTGCCACCCCAATGTGACAATGCCACCCCAGGGTGACAATGCCACCCCAGGTGTGACAGTGCCACCCCAGGTGTGACAGTGCCACCCCAGGGTGACAATGCCACCCTCTGTCCCCCCCAGGCGTTCCCGCTGCCGTCCCTGAGGCGCAGGCAGCCCACGCTGCTGGTTCTGTGCGGGCCGGGGCAGAACGGAGCCATCGGGCTGGTGTGTGCCCGCCACCTCCGCAGCTTTGTGGGTACCCGCTCCTCCTCCTCCTCCTCCTCCTCCTCCTCCCGGCCTTCCTCCCCAGCTCTCCCGGCCCCACCGGTGCCGTTTTTTCCCCCCAGGATTACGAGCCCACCATCTTCTACCCCAAGCGCTCCCCGGACCCGCTGCACCGCGACTTCACCACGCAGTGCGAGAAGATGGACATCCCCTTCCTGTCCTACCTGCCCACCGAGGTGTGGCCCGAGACCCCCAAATCCCCCCGTTTGTCCCCTCATTCCTTCCCCAAAACCCCCCAAAATCCTCCTGTTTATCCCTTCTTTCCTTCCCCCCAAAACCCCCCAAATCCCCCCGTTTATCCCTTCATTCCTTCCCCCAAAACCCCCCAAATCGCCCCATTTGTCCCTCCTTTCCTTCCCTTTTTCCTTTCCCCCAAAATTCCCCTTTTTATGCCCCCATTCCTTCCCCTTTTCCTCCCCAAAACCCCCCAAATCCTCCTTTTTATCCCTCCTTTCCTTCCCCAAAAAAACCCCCAAAATTCCCCTTTCTATCCCTCCATTCCTTCCCTTTTCCCCTCCCCGAAACCCCAAAATCCCCCCAAAAATCCCCCAAAACCCCCAGATCAGATTTTCCCCCTCTTGCCCTTCCCATTTTTCCCTCCC